TGATGTTAAATTATCCATCACTCATTCATAATTAATTCAATTAATTCTGAAAAACCCCTCAAATGGGTTTTAAATTTGACTGAATTAAGGGTTATATACACAAGCGTCCACTTATTGGACCATGAGTCTAAAAATATCTTTTATTTTGTTTATTTACAAAACTGCTACCACTGTATATGAAAAGACATTATTATCTATATGTAATGAAATTAATTGAAATTAATGAAACTTCAAAAAAGGGAAATTTGAAAATCAAATCATAAAATGAAATCTGGAAAATACAATTAATGAAATATACCATATACAAAATGAGGCACATTTTAATTTTTGAATGCCGATTAAAAGAAAAACCATACATGCATTTCCCAAAAAATCGATTTCACAGTAACTACCCCGCCATCCGTATACGGCGGTGCTCAACCGGACATCCATGGCCAAATCACAGAGCGAATTTTGGGAAAGAAATCAATGGCGAAGAAACCTAAAGAAAGAGATGACAAATCTGGCACGAAGAACATGCCACCGGTGTCTTCTCTCAAAATGATGCCATCAGATGTGTCCATCACACCTTAAATGCACAAAAACTGCAAAGAAATACTATTTACAGTAATGAATATCTTGACTAATATACAGAATATACAAGAGAATGAGAAAGAATGATAGTGAAAAAAAAAAAAACTAATACATAATTAATATATATTAATTTTTTTCATTCTTATATATAATTGATATATATATATATATAATATACGTGAAAATGGGAATGAAAAAGTAAATACCATTATAAGAATGACTGTGAAAAAAATAATGAAAAAAATTAATGAGCCAGAAATCCTTCAATTTCATTAATTTATTATTTCAAACATTATTAAACAGAACATATAAATCATTAAAAAAAAGCCCAATTTGAAAGGGAGAAAATAAAACCCAATTTCATTAATCGAATAACCACTATTTGAATGATAATTACATAGTGAAACAAACTGAGAATGCAAACTAAATAAAATTATAAGAATGACAGTCAAAAGTAAATAATGAAAAATAATAATAATGAGCCAGAAATCCTTCGATTTCATTAATTTGTTGTTTCTGTGGAAATAATGGAAAAAATTAATGAGCCAGAAATTTTTCAATTTCATTTGCATTGTTGTAAAGATCGATAATGGAAATACAAGAATGAAAAAGAACGTGTGAAGAATATAACAGCAAGAAAAAAAAAAAGAATTAATGATCATTGAAATAATAATGATTTGAGAATGCACACACATGCACAAACAAACGGCCTCGTTTATTTTACCGATTCGACTTTTTAATTTTAAGTTTTTAGAGTAAAAAACTTTCAGAAAATATCACATCTAATTTTTTTTTTTACTACAGTTAAAAACTTTGTTCATTTTAGTTATTCTAGATTTGCTACGGTTAAAAATTCTCATAAAAAGTTACATCTAATTTTTTTACTACAGTTAAAAATTATCACATAAAGTCACATCTAAACTTGAATTAAAAACTCAAATTTACGAATTGAATGAGATTAAAATCTCTCATAAAATATTTCATCTCAACTCGAATCTGCGAAGCGAACGATGTCATACTCAACACAAACCGGATGGAGAGAAGGGAGTAATGGAAAAGCAAAAACAGAAAATAGATTATACCACAAAGAAGCAAGACGGACAAAGAAGAAAACCACAAAGCCAGGCGTAATCAAACTTTCAGTCCACCCTCTCTTGGAACCAAATCAGACGTTGCCTCAAAAGCAAAAAACTGGGCAGCAAAAATCCGGCACCAGCAAATATTCGTGAGAAAATCCTAGTTTAAAAAATCAATTAAATTGATGAAAAAAAATATTAAAAGGGGGAAAAAGGAAAGTCAAATCAGGTTTATAATCAAAGGAAATATCCTGAAATAAATATAAAAACATACCAAATTAGGAACATGCTGAAAAAACTTATAAGGGCAAATTAGGAATAAAATATTCCATATTAAGAACAAGTAGATATTTTTGTACTATTCTATGATAGAAGACATTTTTAGACTCAAGCTTTTCATAAAGGGCATTTTACGTAATTATTTCCTCAATTAAAGATGAATGGGCCTATTTGATCACTCATAACTCACTAAATCATAACCCATAAAAGTTCTTTAAGCGTGACTTAAGTTCACGAAACGAGCCCAATTATGTTACGGGACACAAAGGATTGAGCTGGATCGTTAATGGGCCTGGTACAAATTCCGGTATCAATAACTATTAGAGTTTGTACATGCTAACTTGGTAAATTCTAAATATACTTGAATTTACTGTGTATATCCCGGATTTACCAATAGAATTTGTATGGTTCTTAAAAAGGTGGTGCTAACTTGTAGTGGTTTTTTTTTTTTCCAAGTGATGGTAACTTAGGGCTTGTTCTTTTGGAGTTTAACTTGAGTATAATTATTGAGTTGAATTTGAGTTATAATTTGAGTTGAACTTGTAACTTGAGTTTGTGTTTGGTTGTGAACATTTGAGTTATGGTTTGAGATAAAAATCTTTTTGAGTTTGTGTTTGAGTGAGTCAAAACTTAAATTTGTATTTAGATAGTATTTTAATAAAAATTCAATGTTGATGAAAAATTTTAATAGGATATATGAGTCGGGTTTTATTCGTCTTTTCATTGTCAATGCATAGAAAAAAAAAATCATCTCAATCAGAATTAAAACGAAAAAGTTATAGCATTTTTAAGAATAGAAAAAATACTGTTCATTAATTTGAGTTCGAGTTTCTGAACTCGAGTTGAAGGAAAAACTTGAACTCAAGTTTTAGTCCTAAACTTGAGTTTGAACTCGAGTTTAAACTCGAGTTTAAACTTAAAAGAACATGAACACGAATAAAATTGTAACTCGAGTTGTATTTTTTTGAGTTTTGCACTCAAAAGAACAAGCCCTTAGTAAATCTTAGATTTTCCAAGTATACCAAGGATTTACTGTTAGAATTTGTACAATTCTTAAAAAAAGTGATGCCAACTTAGTAAATCTTAAATTTATCGTGCATATTTAGGATTTACTATTAGAGTTTGTACCTGCTAACTTAATAAATTCTGAATATACCTGAATTTATCCTATAAATCCAAGATTTACCAGTAGAACTTGTACTTCTTGAAACCGTGATACTAACTTGTAGCGTTCTTTTTCAAGTGATGCTAGCTTGGTAAATCTTGAATTTACTAAGTATATTCAGGATTTATCATTAGAATTTGATAAAAGATTCACACTATAAATCTAAGATTTACCAAAGAGCACCACCGGGGATTTACCAAAGAACATTATTGATAAATGAAGGATTTACACTGTAAATCCAAACTTTGCCAAAGAGCACTGATGGTAAATAAAGATTTACAATAAATTTAAGATTTACCAAAGAGCACATATTATACTCAACTGATAAATAAAGAATTCACAACGTAAATCCAAGATTTACTAAAAAAAACTATAATGGAGACCCCCAAAAAAACACTATTGGTAAATTAATAAAATTGGTAAATATAGGATTTAGACATAAATCAAAGATTTACTAAAGAGCACACACTACTCTATTGGTAAATAAAGGATTTACACATTTGTTCTTTGAGCAAAAACACTCCTACTCTTTCTTTTTCTTTTTTTTTTTCTTTTTTTTTTTTTGAGAGAGAGAGAACGCATTCTGATGTCCATTTTAAATAGGCTAAAAATATCCATGCATATGCTTTAAATATTACTCGTCATGCATTGCACAATCAAAACAGAAAAGCAAGATTAAAATATGGCAAACATTAGGCTAAAAATAGAGGCCTTTGTAAAAATAACTCAATAAAAAAGTTTTATTAGTAAAATAATTTTTTTAAAATTTTTATTTACAAAATGACCTCTTTTTACAAGAATTCTACCCATTCTGTTAACTGTTAATCTTTATTTTTTTTTTTTTTTTTAAAAAGACCAACGTTTTTGTATCTACTGAAAATGGAATCTCATCCATTCCTAAGCTATACAAACATCCGTTAACGCAACTCAACAAAATAAGATTATAAACAACATTGATTTACATATTCAAACAAGAACAGGAATCCAAATCCTTTTTTTTTTTTTTTTTAAGAAATCAAAACAAAACACAGACAACTCAGAATTTTCGTGATCTAAAGAAAAGGAATTTCGACAAAGCATTGAATTGATAATATTGGATTTCCAGTTTATTATCACGAAATCTAATTGACGAACTTAGCTCAGCCTCTATTTCATTGACGGACCTGCGAATCGTCCAAGTCGCGATTCGTACGCAATCACATGGTCGCCGTTCTAGTCGATATTTTGGTGCTTGACGAGAGATCAACAGCTGTGACTCTCGATCTCCAGACGAAGCTCGATGCTACCTTGAAGATGATGATGCTTGCGGACGGCGATGGAGCTCGGCAGCCTCATTGCATCGAATGGCACCGTCGTGAGATCTCCTGGCCTCGCAACGAACCACGAAAACTTCATCATCATCCACGCTGATCTTCACCGTCAATCGGCTTCGCCAACGGTGATGGTGACGGAAGGGTGCGATTCATTGTGGGGGCGGGGCCTTTGTTGGAGAGAGGGAGAAAGAGCAGGAGAGATTGAGGAGAGAGAGTTCGAGTGTCATAGGAAAAGGAAGAGAGAGTTGTAACGTTTGTTTCCTATATTCATTTATGATTTTAAATCATGATTCATAATTCTCTAGTGTTTTCTCTTATAAAAAATACAAGTAAAACGAGAATAATTCTGAAATGATTCTAAATACATAAACCAAACGTCTTCATGTGTTTCAGCTTTAATTTTCATACAAAGACATTTTTGGCAGTTTAATTAGGTCTATATACGGATTTATACTTATTTGGCTTACTTTCTAATTATTTCTAAACATTGGCCTATTAATTATACTTTTTATTCCCTTTATAATCTGGCGTATTTCCCTCCTCTCTCCATATTTAACAGAAAGCCACCGGATCATTTAATCAAAACTAGAGTGCTGCTCAAAAAAGACAAACCCACTTCCAAAAAGCAAAACATCCCTACACAACGTTAATGCCAAATGCCCAAAAAAAAAAAAAGTAGACCAGTACAACCATAGACAACTAGTCATCCACCCACCCTCCTGAATTTTAGCGCGGATAGGGTTGGCGAGAACCAGGAGTGAAGGCCATAGGTCCGGCTGGGTGCCCATGATGGGGTGCTCTAGGTTCAAAGACGCCGCCTCCACCATACCCGGGTGGTAGAACATTTCCAAAAGCACCCATTCTTGTGTGGTGCAATTCGTCCGGCCGAGGTGCATGCCACTGCATTCCCGGCAGGTTTGTTCTGTAATAAGGCTCGGACATTGGAGCTGGATGCATGTAAGGAGGCGAGAATCGTGCATGTGACCCGATCGGGCCATACCTAGGATCCTGACCCAGTAGATAATGACCTACTGGATGATTAGGACGATAAAGGTGTACCTGTGATTGAATACCGGATTCCCTACTATGCATTTCTACCGCCTCCAATTGCCTGCCGCTAAAGGTGTCCGTGTTGTCCTTCGGCCCCACATAATGTTGCTCCTCCAAGCCCCTAGCCCCATAACCAGAAGCTGCATTGGCACTGCTTGACCATATGTACCTGGAATAACGCCCATCACCATCAGTGCCGTGCTTTCTGTCAAGATCATCAATAGAAGCAGATCCAATCTGCCTATGTGAACCAGGCATGGTGGACTCAAAATGTTGATTACTATTTTCGCCACCCTCAACATGTGGAGGGATTCCTACATGAATCTCTCTAACAGGAGATCCTCTACCATCCCGTTTGTTGTCTACTGATATCTCGCGACTCACTCTTCTCTTGTTCTTATTCCTTGCATTCCAGGACCGGTTACTTGATTTCTCATTGGATGGCTCTCTCTCTTGACCACGACTACCAAGGCTCCCCCTGTCACCGCTCGTTAAAGGGGAGCTTTCTTTATGTTCACTTTCAGCTACCCCAGATACATAACCTTCTGGATTATCAGTCTCCACAGGATCCTCACATAGCATGTGATTACCACCATGATTATCCTGGTCATTCATCACGTAATCAGGCAACGCAACATAATCGTCATGGTCACCCATTGGATGATCAATGATATCATGATCAGCATGGTTGTCAACTAAGTGATCCCGGATCGACTCAGAAGGGCTTTCTTCCATGGCCTCTTCTTGCCTAGAAGTATGCTCATGACTTTCAGCTATTTCCCTGTGCTTGGCAGACCAATCAGGATGGCTCCAGAGAGAGAGTACAGGGGGCCTCAAATTCCATTGCTCCATTTGTTTGTCTTTTACGTCAACAGATCCAGGCAGATAAAATGACTGAAAGGAGATAAAGAGGAGCAACACCGTAAAGATTGTACTAATTGATAGTCAGCTGCCAGAAAAAAAAAAAAAAAAAGAAAAGAAAAAAAGAGGCAAAACTCTTTTCTTTACCTTTCCTGATAATAAACGATCATCCTCCCATACCAAAGCATAAGGATTATGCTTTTCATCTAACCTGGTACAAATGTGAGAAAGCAAAAGTTGGAAACAAGTACTTGAATGTAGAAGACAGAGAAATGAACAAATAGAAGCACCTACCTTTGCGTTTCTCGTGGAACAATAAGTATAAGGAGCTTCGGTTTAAACTGGAGCGCCTTGTCAATGAACTTGTTTGCCAGAGATGCTTTAACTCCAAAGGGAGGATTTAGCCCCATGATCTGCTCAAAAAGCAAAGCAAAAATTTTACCTGAAGGCTTCTGAACTTGGAATATCTTGTACCGGAAAAAGACAAAATCTTCATTTTTACCAATTTTGATCCATTTGGCAACTCATCTGGCTGGACAGTCATCCAATCCCTCTTCTCAAAATTAAAATCACTCTGGTAAAAATAGACATTAAAATAAAATCATATTTCTCTCATTTTGCAAACCACCAAACTTAAATATTGGTAAGAGATACTATTACCTTTGGTGGAATAAAATCATAGTTTTTGTATGAGCACCTTTTCCTCATCTCATCAAGCTTTTTCTTCATTAGGATACTGAAATCATTAGCACCACAACAGAAATCTACTATCTGTTCATGGAAACAATAGATTATCAGGTTGTTAACATTACTAAAACAAATGTGAAAGTGAAGAATATTGGATTCAATAGATGATAGAGTAAATCATCAACAACAAAACAATTACAAATACCTCAAAATTTATCCAAGTTCTAATAATGCTCAAAGAGATCTTACTTGATGTCAATTAAAGACACGTTTCCAATCATGAGTAAAATATAAAGAAATGGAATTTAGAATGCAAATCTCTAATGAAAATTTAACACAAAACAGTTGCATAAAACTCAACGGAAAATACAAAATTATGATCCTCGATTATCTGCTTAACTAGGGAGATGTCCAATGATATCAGAATACCGATTTTAAGTGTCATATGCCCAATATATACTGAAAAAAAAAAATAAAAAATAAAAAATCTTACCATATCACCATCTTGCGCATACCAGTGGAGTTTATTGACAATCTGCAACAGAAAAAAAAGAACCGGGGGGGGGGGGGGGGGGGGGGGGGGGAGGCCAAATGATAATATGACAAGATAGCTATAACAAAAATATTAATAACAACAACAACAACAATAATAACAATTATGATGATGATGATGATTAGAACTGGGATTCAATAATGGCATCGGGTATTAACAAAATGGAACTAGATTACCTCTATCAGTTTCTCCACACTTGTAAAATGGCGACCAAAGGATGTGTAACGCATACCATACAGAAAAGGTGCAAGATATACTTTGAATTTGTTCTAGAGCACAACAAATTAATAAGGTCAATAAAAACAAGACAACAATTATAATAATGACATTCAAGATGCATAAATTTCAATAAAAATGGCGTAACAAACTTGTAGTCTTGTATAATGGAACTATTGCGTTTTTTTTTCAATCAATAACAAACAAGAGAAAATTTATAAGAAACGGTATAAATTAACAAAAGAAAGAATCTTGCGCAGAGAAATTACAAATCTCAAAAAACAAAAAAGGGGGGGAAGATGTTTAAGAAAGAGACAGGAAGCAAAAAGGCTGGGAATGAAGAACATGATGAATGGCGTAAATTATAGAAGTTTATGACTAGCCTGAGATAATGGAATAAGCACTTATCTTGTACAACTGACCATACCTTCCACCTAAATATCCGGCCAAGACTATCTTGCGAACAAACAGCTTCTGCATCTTCCATACTGCACCCATCATCCAGTTTACGTAAAGCTGCTCGTGCGGCCTAGACATGAAACATAAAGAGTAAAATAAGTCATGATAAGAAAGAGACAGAGAACAGAATCATAACAACTTGCAACAACCAATTGAATTTTAAAGCTTGACATTGTACGTACCACAACTGCAGCCTCCACCTTGCCCTGCGTACAACTGTCCACAAAACTTTTCAACGAGTATTCATGAGTTGTTGGAACTTTGTGCTTTTCTCTAATATCTTTGATACTTATTGAGGATTCAACATCCTTAATTAAATCTAACAACCTGTATTGCAAGAGATATTTACCACTCATATCTAGACAATAATGCATGGACAAATTTATATCTCAGATCATGATGGTCCACAATATTAAATTTCAAATAACCACACAATTTTCTGTGTCAAAAATCAGAATTGGTAAACAGTTAGGGAACAACAAATACAGACCTCCTCTCCGAATCAGCATCTAATGGAGGTGGTCCACTGCTCAAACTTTTTGTGGTATCTTGCTTCTCGGGTTTCACTAGTTCAGACCTCTCATTCATGTATTCATAAGACCTAAGACCCATTGAAGCCTTGTTTTCCTCAGCCATGGGAGACTTCATTTCCTTTTTGCTTGCATCATTTACTTTTGCTTTCCGAGGAATACTTGATCCTGAAGATAGTCTTCGAGCAGTTGTTTTCCCACCAACTTTTAGAGCAGAAAACGGCTTACTCTGTTTAGGTGCAGCAGAAGCTGTTTTTCCCTTGTGGGATTCTTCGGGGGGAACTCTCACCTTAGACACAAGTTTCTTCCTATCTCCTAAAAATTCAGATGCCTCTCGTTGCCTCTTGTCTTCAATGATAGTCTTCTTTTTCCCAAAAGTACTCTTCTTTTCCCCAAAAGTACTCTTCTTTTCTTCAACACCAGGAAATTTAATGTGGTTTCTATGTGGGGTGCCAATTTTGTTGTCAATCTCGTGCTTTCTGAACAAAAAAACAAAAAAAACAAAAAAAAAAGGCAAAACCATTTAAGCATGTTCCTTCGAGAAAATCATGAAAAGAGAACGTCATATAGAACACATACAAGCAATATATCAGAATACGATTAGGCAAAAGATTATCCCAAGCCCTTGTTACTATCCCTTCCTTCTTGATGGTCTTGAAAGAGATTTTCCTGACACAACCAACGAAAGCATCAACGATCTGTGATGATGAAAGAAGATCATGATATGGGAAAACCAAAGAAAATATGACCAAAGATACCTTGGTAAGCATTTCCTATGGTATGATTTAGGACAACGCCGGCATATAGCAAACTGAAGATCAGGATCTTTTTTGTTCTCTCCTTGTTTGCAAAAAAGGCACTTGTGAACTGGACAAGTAAAAGATTCCCCCTCAGCAATCTTTTTCTCTAGGTCTTTAGCAGAAACTTCATTATCCCCATGGAGCACTTTTGCAACACAATGTGGATGGTAAAATCGCCCACAAGTTGCAGAAACACAACAAAAGACCTACAACAATCCATATCACCAAGCTCATATTCAAATAGCTATGCACTTTTGTACTTTTTTCATAAAATACAATAAAATTAAGAAAAGTTATCCCTGGCAACAGAAAAATCCCCTTCCCCATGAGAAAACAAGAGAAGGAAAAAAAGGAAAAAAAAAAAAAAGAAGAAGAAGAAGAGAAAGAAAGAGAGAGATGAAATCCAGAAAAAAACAAATTCCCCAATATACACACACATAACCAGATATTAAAGCAAAATGGTCATTTAAAATCCCCTTCCTATAGATTATAAATTGCTTTTGACCGCAATATGAGATACATCTGTATTAGCATACCAATATATATAAACAGCAGTTCAGTTCCTAACAACAACTCATACCTCAGCACCGGAATATTTATCAGATGATCCTAATTTCCCACAAATGAAGCACTGGTGCTGTTTATATTCACAATTCTTACACAAGAACTGTTGAATCGCCTGCCAAAAGAAGAGGGAAAATGAATGTTATGCCCACAGATTTTTTTTTTTTTTTTTTTTTTTATATACGAATCGGAGCGACAAGAAATTGAAATCAGAGAAGCAATATTAATAAGCTGCAGTGGCATACATCTACTTCTTCCTCGGTGTAGCCGAGTGAAGCGCAAAAAGATTCCTCACCGGCCTCCTTAGTTGCATGAAACGACCTAAGACAGCTCCCTTCGCAACTGCATTAAATCACAAATAGAAATCACACCTTCAATTTGACACCAAAATTGTGCAAAAAAAAAAAAAAAAATGATAAGATACTATGTGCATGTTCTAAATAAGGCGAAGCCAAGTTGCTATTAAAATTACTACTCCAAGATTCATTATAAGATAAAACCTAACAGTGGTAAATTCGGATATTATTAGAAGTAGGGCTCCTTTTTTGTAATTCTTTTCGAGCTCTCTTCATAGAGGACAACTCTTCCTGTCTTTACTTTATACATAACTACTATGACCAACAAAAGTTTATTGTTCCAGCAAAAAAAAAAAACAGAGAGAGAGAGAGAAAACTAACAGTCGTATACCACACAACCTTGTTCAAAATAAAATAAAATAAAATTTCAACGTAAGAAGCAGAAGAATGGCCAGATAAAAAATGTTAGCCCAACATGAGTTTCTAAAAACCCACTCCAATCCCCTCTTTCCCGTCTATACAGGACTAAATTTCTGTCTACAGGAGTTAAACCACAGAAAGGAACATACCATAAAAGGTCACCACCATTATCACAAATAGCACAAACAGAATCAAACAATTCACTATCTTCATTGGAATCGTCCTCTTCGGCATCATCCATGATATCATCTTCTGAGTCGTCAACTATAAATCTTGACATTGTTGTAGCTTGGGTTTCCTGGAAAACCATTGACTCGTTCAAAAGAGAAGTACACAATCATTAAAACAAAAAAACAAAAAAACAAAAACAAAAAAACAAAAAACAAAAAACAAAAATCAAAAACAAAAATTAAAACAAAAACTGGAAAGAAGTAAAGAAGTCAAGTGAAAAATTGAAAAAATAAGCGGGTCAAAGTAACCTCATCTTGTAGTTTCCTCTTCTTGGGCTTCTCCTGAAGAAACTCTTCCAAAAACTGCTCCAAGAAGGGGGGAGAAAAAAAATTTGCAGTTGTTAGAAACACTTGTGGTGCCATAACCGAATACAACAGGTCCATGGTTCCTAAGTAAGAACCTAACGTTCAAATTACTTTAAGATTTTAGCTGATGCATATTTTAAGCTAATGCATCCACGATTGAACTAAGAAATTCATTAGGAGGAACAAAAATGAATCAACCTCTTCTGAGTGATGATATCATTAAATGAAGTTAAGCTAGTGTCACAAACCTTAGACTTTGTTAACGCATCATTCCTTTTAACAGCTCCACTGATTAAAGAAGTATGGCCCACCAGATCATTCTCAGAAGGCCTAATCTCAGCTGAACTGTAAAGTGAGTGTAAATGTCAATTTCAGCAAGAAAACCCATAAGGATGGATATCAAACATATGTAGAAGTAAGAACACCACCTGAAGTTCTTAGCTATTTGATCCCACAAAGGTTTCCCAGATGCTTCAGGATTTCTCATCACATAATGCAGACAGTTAACCGTTATCAACGTTGATCTAATGATCTCCTCAAAGCTCTTCCTGGGCTTCTGAAGCTTGATCCAACAATTCTCCTTCGAGAGCACCGAAATCTCGGGCTTCACGTTGGAAAGATCGAACTTCCATGCTATGACATGCTTATATATTTTCTGTAGCCCATTATCAGCAGTCCCATGAAGGAAAATCTGCACTTGCCTGTCATCCACTCTCTCACCTTCACTCCATTGGATTGGCAAAGTAGAAAACGAAACGGGTTCATCTTTGTCATCCACGAAATGGTAATTCGAAACGGATAATGGCAACTCCTCTGCCTCATCATCTGAGGATGCCATATCCTTTTACTTAAGTCAAAACTCCAACTTCACAAATCAAAAAGAAGTTCAATGAGAAAGTCCTGTCAAAAAAATTAGAAAAACACACAAAAAATAAAACTACAAGTCCTTTCAAAAGGGTAGTCCAATAAATTAATGCATCTAGCAAAACCCATTTGAGACAATAGGCAAAGTAGAACAAAAGAAACTAGAAAGGCAAAATTTGCAAATCAAAAAGAAGTTCAAGGAGAAATTCCTGTTAAAAGAAGGTAAGAATTATAAGCAGTTTAAAAAGGGTAGTCATACAAATTAAATGAATCCACCAAGAAGCAATTTTGACAATGTGTAAACATCAATATCAAAACTAAAAGGAGAATTTTTCATTTTTCATAGCTATAAATATAGTCTTGCAGTGAACTGTGTTTCTAATATTATTTGTTTTATATTAGCTATAAATATTGACAAATTACATAAAATCATTTCTTTGGTTGATTGAAAGAAATGTACAGACTATCTCGTGGAAAACGCATGTATTAACGAAAAACAAAAGAATAGTAATTGTCATAGATATTCACGAGTTCAATTTTTTCCATTTTCTACTCAATTTTCTCAGCAACCAAACAAACTACAGTGTCGAGTTCTCTTTCCGAGTAGCAATGGATTGAAAAAGGAAACAAATTTTCTCTATGCAAATTCAAGAAAGTAAAGATGAGAAAAACAAATTTCGCTCATAGAATCCCAAACAACGGTTTCCAAGAAAAAAAAAAAAAAAACAAGGAAAATTAACAATAACTTAACGGAGAGAAAAACGAAACGCCATGAATGAAACGAGAAGAAGAAGAAGATTTTTCTGACCTAATTTCAGAGTCGCAGAAGATAACAGAGGAGGGGAATAAGGCGAATTCTTCTTTGTGTTTTTTTTTTTTTTCTTTTTGCCGCGATAAATTTTTTAAGGTTATTTTCAGATTTTATTTTAAAGTTAGCTGCTTCGAATTTTTAATTTGAGTTAAGATATGATTTTATTTTGAGTTGAGATATAATTTTATATGAGAGTTTTTTTATTGTAATAAAAAAATTAGATTTGATTATTTCTGAGAGTTTTTTTACTGTAGTAAAACTCTAATACTAAAATCAAATCGGTGAAATGAACGAAGCCTTTATCGCTGCAACCAAAAAGGATAACGAAATAAATATTTACAGGGATATTTATGGCAATTTATGCTTAAAGAATTAATCTCACGAATTTGAGTCTTTAATTTGAGTTGAGATGTGACATATTTTGAGAACTTTTAACTGTAGCAGAAAAAGTTAGATGTGACATTTTTTAAAAACTTTTAACTGTAAAAACTTAAAATTGAAAACTCGAATCAATGAAATGAACGATGTCTTAGATTTTAAAACTATTTTAAGTAGATAGCATGTCTATTATGTAAATTTTTTTATTATGATTAATAAAAGAATATTTAAGCACGTAATTTTTTTTCACAGACTTGTGAAAAGATTTTTTCACACGTAAATAAATTTTTTTATAAAAATTAATTTTTATCAATTGTAAATAAAAAATTTAGATAATAAACTGTTATTTATTTTAAGTATTTTAAAATATGTTATTTATTTAATTTATAGTTTTATACATCTGCTTTGTTATGATTTCCCTTCATACACTCCCACCCCCTCCCCCCCCCCCAAATTAACTCTAATATAAATGTTAACATTAATTATATATTTGTCACAAAAAAACGTGATAATAGTTAGTATATTTGATATGTTGTGCTCTAATGCGTAATTATACCATAATCATTTAAGTTTTAAAAGTTGTAAGAATAAACTTTTAATTTTAAGATAATTTGAAAAGATAAATGTTGCAACAATCAATTGAAAAGAAAAACATATCAAACAATAGCCATCAAATGTTAAATTTGTCTTATGCTATAGTTAGTGGTATATATACCATAAAGTATAGCATATGGTAAAATTAACACAACAAATGTCACTCTGTTAGAGTGTGTTTTACAGTTAAATGTCAAATTTACCATTGGTACATCAATGATAGCATTGCATTGAATCTCAACATTTTATACCAATTTATATGGTATAAATTTATCATTTTTTTACTGATAAATGTAGTTAATGTGACAATCTTTTAAATAACTACTAAGAAAAAAATGATTACTCACATTCCATTTAAATTGGTACAAAAAATTAGAATTAGAGTTGGAGAGAAATGGTGACCCTCTATTAGCCGTTAGTTATTTGGCATGCAATACTTAACCGATGTCAATTACCTAATATTATTCTTACTTTTATATTCACGAAACACTAATGCAAAGAGTATTTTTGTTAATAATTCATAGTTCAAAGAGAAAAAATATTACGTTTTAAATATCAGAGGTCAAATATTACATAAATCATAATTCATTGGGGATTTTTGTTTTAATCCTAAATCAAATTATGTCGAAACTATTCCTTTTGTTAAATAAATGAATGGAAAAACATGTTAATAATATTTTGAATTCATAAAAGGTCATTGAATTCATAAAAGGTCTTTGAATTGATTATCTCGTTAGAAATAATCTTCATACTAAAAGTTGTATTAATTTACGGTAAATTAAAAATGTGTAAAAGTTGGTCTTTTTTTTTTTAAATAAATGGATGGAAAACATTAATTATGAAGAATTGTGTTGAATATTAGTAGTTTTTTGCCCATTATAAATACTTTTTCTACTTTTTAAAACAAGATGATTTTAAAACAAAAGCTTTGAATTTTGATAGAAAAATGTCAAGATTTATAGTTTTTTGTTGGTTATGTCGAGATTTATAGTTGACAACTCATTATAAATACTTTTTCTACTACTTTGTTTTATTACTATTATTATTATTATTATTATTATTATTATTATTATTGTGTCATTTTAAAATTGAGAAAAAGTCATTTTTCATTTTTTGCTTTTGTTTTCTCCTCTCTCGAACAGAGAGAGACATTAATGGGTTTTTTATACTGAAAATAATCTCTTAATAAAACTACCAAACGCATTTTAAAAATGATTTCTGTCTGAAATTGAAAACGTTTTCATTTCTATCTTCATATAAAAAATAAAATCATTTTAAAACGAATTTCAAACGCACATTACAATTCCCAAAACTAATCTCCAGCTTTGAACTTCTCCACCTCAGAGCTTAGCCCTGAACCCTAACCCTAACCCTGCGCACCAAACGTAGCCATTGTTCTCAACAGGGGAAAGGATTTTTTACTGAGGTACAAGTTTTGCTACAAAAGCTTGCATTTTGAAAATTGAAAGGTCATTTACATAAATTATTAGAACAATTTTGAAGTAATCAGCATGGGATTAGTCACTGACCATCAAAATTTATTATTTTTACGTATTTTGCTGAATTATCTTTTGCATCTCCTTGTCTGGGTTGCTGAAAGTACTGAGTTGTTATTTATTGACCACAGAAAACAAGGCCTGATCATATTCAACACTTTAAATTATTGACTATTTATTGTCACAAGTGTTTTCTTATTATTATTATTATTATTATTATTAAGACTATTATTTAACAGCATAATTAAAAAAGAATTAGTTGATAAGTTACAACAAACCCAAGATGTCCGTAAATCTATTTTTTGGGGGGTCCCATCTAGCTTGTTAGAAGATACCTTCGAAGCATGTAGCCCTCCTATGACAAAATTCTCCTCACTTGGGGCCCGTTTAGTTCGTTGATTCGAGTTAATGTGATTTTATGTAAGAGTTTTTTACTGTAGCAAAAAAGATAGATGTGACTGTTTGTGAGGACTTTTTACTGTCGTAAAACTCGAATTCTAAACTCGAATCAGCGAAATGAACGGGGCCAAACAAAAAAAAACTCGAACCATATTAAACATTTGTGGATGTTGATAGATTCAGAACTATGATTCAGAATCATTCTCAGTTTACATGTGTTTTTTTGTGAGAGAAAATATTGTAGTGAGTCACGAACTATGATTTGAACCATGACACGAATCCTCATACCAAACACTATTTTTAGTCAAAATGACTAATGATTTAGCTTCTTTTTTTTTAACTTTTGTCCACTCCAACCATTAATTAAATGGTTGGCTATTTTAGATAATGCCTTCCACACTAACTAGGGCTCATTCACTTCGTTGATTCGAGTTTTTAATTTGAGTTGAGATGTGACTTTATGTGAGAGCTTTTTACTGTAGTAAAAAAGTTAGATGTGATTATTTCTGAGAGCTTTTTACTGTACCAAAACTCGAATCGGCGAAATGAACGGGGCCTAATTATAGCTAGTCATTTCATTTTTTATATTATTTTATTCTTTCAACTGTAATAAATAACTTTATAGCCATTTTAAATTGATTTAAATTATTTATATTTTAAATTTAATAAATATTAAAATAATATATATTCAACTAATATATGGAGCATGGTTGGAGTGACTCACTTAAAAGTTATTAATTAAAATAACTTTATAACCATTTTAACTAGAATTTAGCTAAAATTTAGAGAGTTCTCTTGGAGATGCTCTTAATTGAGACATGGAACTAATTAATTGAGACATGGAACTAATTAATTTATTTTTTGGATCCAATCTGATTACTATCATGAGATTTTATTTTATTACTTTGTTACAGAGCCCCAAATATCAATCATTAATTCTAATCTTCATTACCAATATGATACTATGGTGCCGATATAGACCAAAATTCTGTTACGGTCCAATTTTGACCGGTAATACATACTCGAGCATTTTCTTTTTCATGTAGTATTATTAACTAATGAACTACTAATACTATTGAGTGGTAACTCTTGAATTTTCAAATAAATAAAAAAATCTTGAGTGATAAAGGAAAATTTGTGATTTATAGAGGGAACGAGAAAAAAATAAGAAAAAAATAGTGGAAAATAAAGTAGAAAAATGCACATATAAAATTTCACATGAGTCGTGTTTTTTCATGGTTTTTTTGGTGTTCCTCCTCATACAAAATTGTCGAAAATGTTTTTTTTTTTTTTTATGTTCTTCCTTTTTTTATTTCAACGCAATAATGCATTCGATTCAGGCCTTTTTTTCTACAATTGTGGACTATTCATTCTAGCTCTCCTCAATAATGCGGTGGAGATGTAGGCCGATTTAAATTTATAGTATTATATTAGTATTAGTATTAGTATTAGTATTAGTATTAGTATTAGTATTACTACACAACAAATTTGATAATAATACTATAATCACAAAAATGATTTCTATTATTGTCCATTAATTGCAAACAAAGCTGCCTTTTATTTGAATGCTTTATGAAAATTTTTCTAAATGGAAACAAATTTATTTGAAATGCCCAACTTAGACTATTCAAATAATGACAATTCTTTCAAAAATTTATAATAAATGGAGTCTTTTAGATCACTTATTGTTTATTATACTCTTTAATATATAAATACATGTGTGCATATATATTTACAAGAAACGTATGGTGGCATATATTCTCTTGTAGCAAGTGTAGAGTGTTTTTTTTTTTTTTTTAATCAAAGTGTAGAGTGTCTAACTTGACATGTACAAACACATTATAATCTACGTATATATAAGAGTCTCAAAGCGTTAAAGCATATATAGGGAACTACGGTGTGGGATGGGCGTTTCGTTCCTCTGCGTTTTTTTTTTATTCTTTGGTTCTCAATTATTTTTCATTCACATGTTTGGTCTTCATTTATGTTTCTTCTCATTTTTTCGACCTTTCTTTCACATATAATTTCAAATCCACTTCGTTTAATTGTTTTCTATTCTCGAATTTCTCAGTTAAAATAGTTTTTACAAATATATATATTTACAAATATGCTCTTATTCAAGTGGTTTACTTACACACCTCTATATATTTTAGATTACACGTGTTTATTAATTTTTTTTTCCTCCATTGAAATATTTTTCCTCTAATA